ACTGCGTGAGTGTAAGACCCACATCTGGATTTTATCACAGTGAAGCTGAACGTTCACCTGATCAAGAGGAAGGCAGCGAGGATGATGATCACCAGGAGAATAACAGATGTAAACGCAACAGCTGCTGTTGTTTTTGACCATGAGGAGCCTCCTTTTTCTCCACAGGAAACACAAAGAACAGGGTCCAGAGTTAATATCGTCGACGTTAACTTCGTTAACGGTGGCGGTGCAGCGGTGCTTCTTGTGCACCGACTACGGACCGCGACGACTATTTTACGCTTCGGCGAGTTTGAATGTGGCTTCGTTAGTTTAGCTCAGCTGTCTCGGGTTAGCTGCCTGTTAGCTGCCTGTTAGCAGGCTGAAGCCGCGCTGCTTCACAGAAACATGAAGACACGTTCAAAGACCGTCGGACCTTTCTGCTCTGTTCTCTGGCGACGGCAGGCAGCGTTTATGTCTTGCAGCGATTGTAGGACGTTAAGGTCTCTCTTGTTGGGACAGTGGAAACAATAAAGGACCATGAAGTGTCAAAAGCACTGCAAGTAAACAGACAAAGACATCAAAGTGTTGCGTTTAGGTCCCTGGTCCTCATGAAGTTGTTACACCTTTGCCAATTTGTTAAATTGCCTTGCAAATAAATGCTTTGCTATTTGTTAAAATCCATAAAATCCAAATCCATCCATTCCAGTCATAGTGTATCTGCTCAGGTTCACCTTCTAGTCCACAATGCTCTCCTGCTTCACTGAGTGGAGGACAGGAGCTAAAGGCCGCGTTTACTGTGAGTCACTTCTTTAGCTGGATTGTTGATGTAATGTGTGAGTGAACAGAAGAATGAGTGTGATTTACCTGAAGAAGTAATCAGACGTAAGGTGGAGTTACTACGTCCCATCTCGTTCTGGGCTTCACAGTAATAATTCCCACTGTGTTCAGCTGTGAAGTCAGTGATGGTGAAGATCTGTCCTGATGCTCGTGGTGAGTCTTCATGCTCCTTGTACCAGGTGTAGTTAGCTGCTGGGTTAGCATCAGCGCTACAGGTCAGATTCACTGAATCGCCCTCCAGCATCTCAGCAGAGGGACTCACTGACACAGAGGGACGCTGTGGACCATCTGGAGGAGACGTGAATAAACATACTAAGAGGTTAGAAGATGTTAGCGTAAAAGTTGATCATTTGAATGAATACTTGTGTGTCTTTCTCTCAGACTATCTCTAGTATTCATCACAGCAGCTGTCACAGGTGAGACTCCTGCTGGTGTAAAGTGACAATAAGCACGCCTTTAATCCTTTGTAATGTTCATATCTCCACACATTCTTCTCTTTAGATGCTGCTTGTGTCCTTAGCTGAGTCTGTCCTCTCACTTCTAGTTGTTGTAGGAGTTATTGATTGTTTCCTCCACCAGCTGACACGTCACTTCTACTTATGTTCTGGAATAATTCACTTGAGTCTTTATGAAAATCACATTATTCTGTCTGCTGATGGTTTATATTTGTGTTTCTATTAATAAGAGAATGACATAAATAAAGATCTGTGTCTCCTTTAACATTTAGACTCCAGTGTGTTTACAGCTGTGATTAGAATCATATTGTTGTGTCAGTGTGTGAGTGACTCTTCTACACGTAGACTGCAGGGGCCGGGGATTGAACCAGCAACCCTCTGGTCAGTGGACCACGGCTCCACCTCCTGAGGAACGTTGTGCTTCATCTTTTTGATGCCTCTAGTTTACATGCAGCGGTCTGGTGCCTCCCTGTGAGATGTTGTTGAAGCTCCACAGGCCGACACAGTGGAGTGAACTTACACACTGCAGGAGAACGTTGACCAGAAGATCCTCTTAAATAACAGGAATATCTGTCTGTAGAACCAGAGGAGACTAGAAGAGAAGATCCTGTCTCGATGTTCTCTCCATTCTTGTACCAGTCGTATTCAGGATCATCAGACAGAACACAGCTGCTGTGACACGTCAGCTCCAACCAGGTAGAATCTGATCTTCTCACCTGCACCTGGAAACCTGAATCAGTGAATATTATTTATTAAAGTGTCAACATTCACAGAAGACATTTATACTCTAGTTTTCTAGATGTTTAACGTTTGTAGATGATTAATATGTGAATTAAAATGTTACCTGTGACAGACAAAGTGACTCCAGGTGAACCAGTATATTTCTCTCCTGGTTTGGTTGTTTTTAATGTGAATTTGTACTCAGCTGAGTCGCTCTCTCTCACGTCTGTGATGATCAGAGTGCAACTGTTCTTAGAACATCTGTACTCCACACGGGCTGAATACTCAGGGTCTTTTCTCAGATCCACAGGTTCACCATCTTTCTCTTTAGTGAACCACAATATGTTTTTCATATCCCGGCGATCTAATCCAGATGGGTGTGTGAAGGTACAGTAAATTCCCACTACTGATCCTTTTGCAGCACAGACCTCAGTCTCGTCGTAATTCACTCCCCATCCGTCCAGACTCTGTATCACTGTAACACAGCACATCAGGAACCACAGTCACACTCAGAACAACATCACAGGACACACTCTCATTGGTAGTTTACTGAAGAGAAAAGATATGATGAGAAATATGAAAATCATTGAGTTTATAGAAAGTAATGAAAGAGTCCACGATGTCCACATGGACTCTGCAGCTGGAAGGAACAGCGACGTATTGAACCATGTCAATATAAATGTAGAAGTACAGTACCTTGTACAGAGAGAAGGAAGACGACTAATCCACCGGCTGATGGACTCATAGCTGCTCCTCTGTGTTCAATCAGCAGATCAGAAACTCTTTATTCAGTAAGTCACCAGAAACACGTCTACATTAAAGAGGAGGCTGATGTCTCTGAGGTCAGCTCGTCTCTTCTGGAGTTGGTAACAAGCTGCTGTTCATCCCCAGCAGAGCTTCCTTCCTCTCTACGTCATTAGTGTGCATGAGCTGCAGAACAAGAAGCTGCTTTATGTTAACGTCTTACTTCTGCTAAAAGAAGAGTTCATAAACCTGTTAGCTGCTCCTCTGTGCTCCTTTTAAACTTACTTTAACACAGAAACAACAAAGTTACTCGTTTTTCGTTTAAAAACAAAACACGAGAAAAACGAAACAACGAAGCAGCTGAACCGGAAGTACGTAACTTTTCACAGTAAAAGTCAACGCGATGGAACGTTTGAATGGTAGAAATTCGTCCGTGATGCCCGGTGCCTGATATATAAAGGTACATGTCTATGATGAGGATCATATGCATGTATAAAATTCCATGTCTATGATGAGGATCATATGCATGTATAAAGGTCCATGTCTATGATGAGGATCATATGCATGTATAAAGGTCCATGTCTATGATGAGGATCATATGCATGTATAAAGGTCCATGTCTATGATGAGGATCATATGCATGTATAAAGGTACATGTCTATGATGAGGATCATATGCATGTATAAAGGTACATGTCTATGATGAGGATCATATGCATGTATAAAGGTACATGTCTATGATGAGGATCATATGCATGTATAAAGGTACATGTCTATGATGAGGATCATATGCATGTATAAAGGTACATGTCTATGATGCGGATCATATGCATGTATAAAGGTACATGTCTATGATGAGGATCGGGGGCTGCGGGGATTACGAGTTGGATTCAGCGGATACGGGGAGGCATCGAAAAGCTCCAGTGATCACGGGGGCTGGTTGGACGCCGGTAGAAACAAACTGATGGAAACCCGGAGAACTGTGAGTACTGACCCCTCTTCTCTGGGTGGAGGGTCGCCGGGAGCGCCGACGTGCACCGTCTTACAGACAAATCCCGGGTGGAGTCTTTTGACGCTGAGTGTGTAGTGAATTGTGTGTGTGATAATAAATGTCCACGGTTTGTGTATCTGGGCTGTGTTTACATCCTCGGGCAGTATAGCAGCATATAGAAGTAGACACTCTTCATAAGGACCCTGACTAAGAGGACAAGGGAGAAGGGCTACTGCATGTGGGTAATAATATAGCTACTGATATAGTTTATAATATAGTTTAATCAAAGTGGCTTGTGGTTTCACACTCGTTGCTGTTGCCTCTCATATTTATTTTTCACGCATTGTTGTTGCTTCAGTGAACGCAGAGACACGCAAAGTCAACGTGTTCACATGTCTTCCACTAGGTGGCAGAATACGTGTATTTAAACCATAGATTTCATTATATTTAACTGTGTTTGTGTTATTGATCCAGGTTATTACACACGTATTTAATGCTGTTTATTCCATGTGATGTTTAGGGTTCATTTGCAACCATTGTTGTACACATCTTGTTATATTATATATATTTCATTTAAGAACCAAACGTACCTCCAAGAAGAGGCAATATTTGTTGATCACAATGTAATACATAACAAAAATGAAAAATAGACACCTGTGGTTTATTTCTATTAAACGTTAAGAATAATGAACCTACATCATTATTTGTCACACTTCATCATGACTCCAATGGTTAAACAGAGGAGGTCAGGATGAGAAGATCTAATGTTGCTCAAAGGCTCCAAAGAAAATTACTTCAGTTTACTGCCGTCAGATTTGTTACTATTTTAAAAACAGTGAGCCTTAAGTTATCTCAGTATGACGCTGGGAGGGGAAGATCACAGTATAGTCACTACAAAAATATAGATGATTAGATTATAGATGATAAATATAGACTACACCACTGGTCAGAGGTCACATTTATCCTGAGTACACTGTGATGTCCTTGATAGAGCAGCAACCAGGAGGCCCTCGTTACTCTGCAGGAGCTGCAAAGATCCACAGCTGACGATGGATTTAGAGATGTTAGTGAGTGAAGAACATAAAGCTACAGTATGTTAATAAATCAAATCAAAGTTTGCAATTTTCTAAAAAAAAGCAAAGAAATAAGACTAATAGCAACTAATAATAACTAACTAATATTCCATCTTTTTCTTCTTGATAAATTACTTTTTTAGAAGGAACAATCAGTCACTGGACTAATTATGGAATTAGTTCATTCTTGACCTTGAATTTCTCAGTGTGCGCTTCTATTCTAATGCTGTATGCAGCTCTTAAATGGACCTTTGCATTAGTCATTTATAGTAAATGATACATATTTACTGCTTGGTTTTTATAAGGTGTCTTAGCATCATAAAATAACCCTGTTTCACAAGCTGAATATATCATCAGTGACAGTATCTGTTAAGGGTTTCGGAAGCTCTCGAGGGGAGGACTCAATCCTTTGTTCTCGTCCCGGCCGGAAACGAGGACACGAATGAGTCAATTCGTTTAAATTCAAAAATCAAAAGTTATTTAATAACTGAACAACGTAATAGGGATTACAATTACAAAGTGAAATACTAAGCGAACAGTGGAATATTTCGCGAAATAGAGAATCCTCTGAGCAAGTCTGAAGTGACTTATCAACGCGGCTGCAGGAGAAGTTCTAACAGTCTTTTCCCCGCCATGGTCCTTTGAAACCTCTTGAGGTGTGTCTTCTTTGGTGCATTTGAATGTCATTGGCCTCTTCTCCAAAGGGTCACCTCCTCCATTGTCCCCTTCACGTCGAGGTGTGAAGCTGCAGCTGTAACCTGAAACCTCTCTGTCCTATCTGTCCCTCACACTCCAATGCACTCAATGTAGATACATTCGGCTTTATGCCCCAATGAGTGAATTTAACAAAGCATACATCGTTTAAGTCTTCATCTTATAACTAGTACACTTTCATTACAACAACCCATCATTAATGATCACCGTTCATCACACTTCATCATAAGATCTAAGACAGTTCATGTGGTCCAATTCTCAAGACATTTGCCTCAGTCGGCTGCCTTACATGAAGTTGTTCATTTATTACCTGACAGGAGAAAAAACTCCCAAAAAAACCTCTTTGGGGATAAAATTGGGAGAAATCCATAAAGAACGGCAATTGGCATCCGTCCCCAGGTTTTAACATCACATTGTGAGAGAATGTTAATGTGTACAGTGTTTATATGATTTAAATGACTATGAATTGTGTTTGATTGAAATTGCATTCACTTCATCTAACATGTTAATGTAATAACTAATATCTAACATCACACAAACTATAATTCTAACACTAAACATTATTACACGTACTATAATTTCCTGACTAGGGGTGCACTTCTGGCTTAAATCCCTAACACCCCCAAACAACCACAACCCCCCCGATGGCCACATTGCGATATAGTCTGGCCTTTTGGAGATGAACAAGATGAAAATATCTAAACTTTGTAGCAACAACATCATTCATTAATCGGGATTAATACATTTCAAAACGAGCGATTAATTAGTTATTGTTTTTAATCTATCGACAGCCATAATATTAAGTTATATATAAAATGATGAAAGTCACCTCAGCAGTTGTCTGATCTCTTTCCCAGGAAAAAGCTTCGTGAGGACCTTTTTCTTCTGGACAGAAGAATAAATAAACAAATCAAATCAAGTGAATAAACGACTGCGTGAATGTAACATCCACATCTGCATTTTATCACAGTGAAGCTGAACCGCTCACCAGATGAAGAGGACAGTGAGGATCATGATCACCAGGGAAATAACTGATATGGACACAAGAGCTGCTGTTGACCTTGTGGAGCCTCCTTTTCCTACACGGGAAGAAAACAAACAACGAATATAATGTATTAAAATATGGCGGGTGGAAGATGAATGAATATTTGGGACCTTAAGATCTGCTCTATGCAGATGATGAACTTTAACTCAAATTAAATATGAGTAGAATGTCTTCAAAACAACTCTTGATTGTTGAGTGATGTAACTCTTCTTGTTCATTCTATAATTTGATGAGATGACGCAGCATCAAACCCCGTGATGACATGTATATATATATATATATATATATATATATATATTATACATATGTATGTATGTGGATATATATATATACACATGTGTTTGTATGTACTGTATGTTTATATGTATATCTATGCACACACACATACACACACACATGTATATATATTCTGCCGCCACTGCGAATGCGTGTGATTTACCTGAAGAAGTAATCAGAAGTAAGGTGGAGTTACTACGTCCCATCTCGTTCTGGGCTTCACAGTAATAATTCCCACTGTGTTCAGCTGTGAAGTCAGTGATGGTGAAGATCTGTCCTGATGCTCGTGGTGAGTCTTCATGCTCCTTGTACCAGGTGTAGTTAGCTGCTGGGTTAGCATCAGCGCTACAGGTCAGAGTCACTGAATCGCCCTCCAGCATCTCAGCAGAGGGACTCACTGACACAGAGGGACGCTGTGGACCATCTGGAGGAGACGTGAATAAACATACTAAGAGGTTAGAAGATGTTAGCGTAGATAGTTGATCATTTGAATGAATACTTGTGTGTCTTTCTCTCAGACTATCTCTATTATTCATCACAGCAGCTGTCACAGGTGAGACTCCTGCTGGTGTAAAGTGACAATAAGCAGCCTTTAATCCTTTGTAATGTTCATATCTCCACACATTCTTCTCTTTAGATGCTGCTTGTGTCCTTAGCTGAGTCTGTCCTCTCACTTCTAGTTGTTGTAGGAGTTATTGATTGTTTCCTCCACCAGCTGACACGTCACTTCTACTTATGTTCTGGAATAATTCACTTGAGTCTTTATGAAAATCCAAATGATTCTGTCTGCTGATGGTTTATATTTGTGTTTCTATAATAAGAG